CACGACATAACTATTACTCTTGCAATTAAGTCTACCATAACACAACTATTATCTGATAAACAAGTCTACCACGATATACGTATTACTCTTGCAATTAAGTCTACCATAACACAAAATTATCTTTAATCAACTCCACCACAACACAACTTTTGAATTCCGAACAAGCCTACCATAAACTAGTAATTATCATGTTAAATTTATAGGTTGTAAAATGTGTACCTTTCCATTGGTTTCCTCATCCTCCTCCAAAACCCTCTCCAAGCTGTATCTAGTGCGGCTTGAACCCCAACTTAGGATAGGAATTGGTTCTTCTCTTTTATTCCCAAATTTCTCTCCTAGTATAGGAACCGACTCATGTACCCAGACAAGCAATACATGCACACACCCATGAATTGTCAACTTTTCACTCCCCAAGGATGCAACATTTATCGAATGCACTAGCTCCCTAAAGCACACACGGCCCCATGAATACCTCTCAAACGCCTGTAGATCCAACACTCTTTTCGCAGCCATGAGAGGGATTCTACTAATACGAGCAAACCCATATATTCCAACGTGCAAGACAAAGAGCAATGCTACCATTTTTCTCTTCTCATAACTCCATGTCCTGCAAACCTCAAAAACATCAATCAACTCGTCCCAACTAGGTGCGATTCCTGCGTCAACCTTCATATCCTTCCACAAATCAGTGTGGTCAACATCCAATATATCTTGATCATCAAATGGGTCACACTTCATCATAGTGATCTCCGCGAACTCATGTAGAGAAAACCTCATCGGACGACCACCAACTAAAACCCAAATCTCATTCATCCTGTCAATGGCCAATTGATTCCCAATGATATTTTGGATAGGCTTCCCAGTCCATATCATCTTCGATAAAGCAAGCTTTAGAATCACTCCAACACCATGATTATTCATGATGTCATTGAAAACCTCTTCACCAASAGCTTCRASCATCTTATCAAAGTCAYCCAACTTGCAATTKTGATGCAAGCTTCTTTCCACYGATRSTGATTTTYGAATMAATCTCTCGGGATACTCAAGTGGCACAATAGAAGACGACATTTTTGTACAATAAGATAAATCATGTCATCATTCAAATTTCTTCCATGAAGAGAAATAAATCTACCATGAAGATAATTAAATCTACCATCAAAAGAAATAAATCTACCATCAAGAGAATAACTCTACCATCAAGAGAAATAATTTGAAAATTAAATCTACCACCAAAACAAACAATGAAACTTCAGTTCAAAACCCATTCTTAGCTCATCAAATCTGTCATTATATTTTAACAAATCTACCATCAAATTCGATAACAAATCTACCACCAATTACAATSTCCAAAGATAMAATCAAAACAAACARGGGCCAACAAACAATGAAACTTATAACCCAATCTTAACTCATCAAGTCTGTCATTATACTTTAACAAATCTACCACAACTTTGATAACAAATCTACCACAAAATTTCAATCTCTAAACATACTATCAACTTTTCTCACCAGAACCGTCGATTTCGCCGTCCCGAATCTGAAGGAAACACGATTTCGAATATAAATCTACAAAATATATTGAAGATTTTAGGGTTTCGATATTTTTAGAACAATGCAACAACCCAAATGAAAACGAAAATCCATATACCTGTTCTACGAACCACCAACAACAAACCCTAAACTCGCTGGAAGTTTTCGTCGACGACTCGCCGAAACCCTAAAATCGCCGAAGAAACACAATGTCACCGTAGTTCGAAGTCGGAAAAAGAAACTAAATAAACCACAGACTAACTTCTCCTTCTTCTCGTGGAAACTTACCGTGAAACCACCGTCGTTCTCTCCTAAATCGCTGCTATCGCCAAGTCGCGAGGAGCCGGAGAAGAAGTTTCTAGGAAATAGAGAGTCGCGCTCTGTTTTGTCTTTTTCGATTTTTTTTTGTTTTTAAGTCAAAAATGGCATTTTTGTAATAATAAAACATAATCCTGATTTATATATCTTATAAACCCTTTCTTAGTATTTTGAAATTTTGTGAAAATTATTTTAGTAATTAGTCCATTTAATAAGACTATTCTAGTAATTATCCCGCCTTAAAATGACATATATGGATATCTACACATGTATGTAGACGTAGCAGAGGGAAGATGGAGAAGTGTGAAATTAAATGTAGAGAAGAAGGAGGACGACGAGAAGCTTGTGAAGGATCGATGAGAAGCCTCTTTACACGTGGGGGAATGACAAAGTTCTTCCTTTTTCAACTTCATCAAAGCTTTACAATTTCATCTCGTCAACAACTTTTTATTTATTTATTTGGCTTGCAAAAATCAC